CTCAGCATTGATGCTGTAGGTTGTTGTGAGCTTGCCATTGTTCATAAAGTTACAGAGTTGGGCGATACGCGAAAAAAGGATTAATTCCGCGTGCAGTAGAAAAAAGGCATCGACAGAACATTTCATGACGTAAGTGTTGGGCAGTTTTTGTTAATTATTTCGGCTTGGAATTTGGCGATTCCGTTTTGGAAATTACAAATCGATTGAATATTCACGAAAAATAATGACAAATAACCTACGTACAAGCGTATGCGTACATTTGGTGTAAAATTTTCTGTGTTGGACATAGAAGCGACAAACACGTATTTTCCATTGAGTCAATTCATTTGTTCATGATAGATTTTAATTTTTTTTCTAAATCCAACAGAAAATGAAACCATTCAAAGGTGTTTGTGGCAAACAATGCCAGCGCAAGTCAAAGCCAGCAAATGTTGAAGTCAAGCGAGAGCCTAGTATTGAAGGAGAGCCCCACGACGGCGATGAAAGTGTCATGAACATACCACGACCGAAGGTTGATGGACGATATCGTGCGAGTTACGAAGGACCGGTTGACTTTGGCGATGACTTCGACGAGGTGAAGGATAAAATCAAATGTGAAGAAGAAGAGACGGGCAAAGAAAAAGACTCAACACCATGCGAACGATCGAATGAAAGCGCCGCCGCAAACGATGATGACAACGAAGAGCATATGGGCGACGCAGTCGATATTCAACCACCGCAACCAGTTGGCAGTGGGAAGAAACGGAATGGAAGCTTCAAAAGACGAAACAAACGAACGATTCCCAGGAATCAAGTGGCCAAAAATCGAAAGAAGCACAAATGTCATGTGTGCAATCATTTGACACGTGACAAGTATACACTCAAAGTACACTTGTGAACTCACACCGGAGAAACACGATTCGAGTGCTCAATTTGTTCTAAATCCTTTAGAACCAACGCTCGGCTTCGAAGCCATTCAATGACTCACAAAGATGAACTGCGTAATGCTTGTGCGAAATGTGGTCGACGATTTGCCACTCCGGAAGATAGGCAAACACACGAAACGTGCTGCCAACGAATTATTTTCGCATGCAATCAGTGTCGTTACAAAACTTTTTACAAGCATCATTTGAAGCGGCACATGCAATCAAAACACGGCGCCAAAAGATCGATCGAATGTGGAATTTGTGGCAAACAATTCATCGAACAGATTAAACTAAATCAACATTTGTCATCAACACACGACGATCGATTCCCGTTTCAATGCTCCAAGTGCTTCGGAGGATACGTAACCGCAGATGCAAAAGAGGTCCATGAAGATAGCTGTGGCTACCATCAGTATCAATGCCATTTGTGCAAAGATTATTCTCGTTCCATACAAAAATTGAAGTTTCACATGCGAAAAGATCACACCGGAGACCGAATCGAATGCAAAGTGTGTGCAGCAAGCTTTGTCCAGGAAAGCAATACTAATCGGCACATGAAAACAGTTCACCGCTTGAAGAAGAACTAGATCACGCATTTCAAAGATTTAATAAAACGTAGTTAAGTTTGAAATCAATACATGATTTCGTTAAATGGATTCAATAATTGAACTCATGACACATGGATTAATCGTGTGAAAACTTTCATTTCTAGAATTTGAAAATATTTCCAACCAAAAGTATTGGAATATTTGGATCCGAACCAAATAGAAATGAATTGAAACAAATGTGAAAATAATAAGTACATTGCCTCTGATTTCAGGGTTTATTTCTACAACAAAGAAACAAATAGTTCTTGAATAAAGTGACAGAATCAATTTTGCAATTCATCACTGATTGACTTTGTACGGTTATAGGATAACGTTTCAGTTTTAAGATAAATTGCTCATAATTCTAATTTTTCCATCATTTAACTCAACTCTTGATCAATCCATAAAAAAAACAATCTATATCTGTTTCAGCTCTTCATATAAAAAACGCAATCTCTCTCCCACTTTCTAGAAATATACGTTGACAATAAAATATTCTATTGACTGTTGCTTTTCCTTTATTGACTACTGCTTTTGCTCTGCCAGAAAAAATGTAAAGTTTTTTGCGCCCGAAAATTTGCTGTTCGCCTTTTGACTAAAAAATTTCTGTGTTTGTGTTCTGCGCACAGGTTTTGTAGGAAAGGTTTTTCTTCTCAGACCGTCAAATGATCATTTATCAAACATTTTGAACAATTATAAAAAAAAAATACAAGAGAAATGAAATTTTTGTTCTGATGTCGAATAAAAGAAGCCATAAATGAAAAAAACGGGATTAATTTTCGATTTTTTTTCTGAATTTACAAAAAAAAAAACAGTGAGATCAGAGTGGGAATTGGGTGCAAATATGAAAATCAGTTAGATTGTACTAACTCAGTAATTTAAAATGTTCATTTCATTTGTTAGCATCTCTTCACCCCACTTCTTCTTAAAATTCTATTTAAACCAATTTGTAAACCATAACAATGTTGAAAAAAGAATAAAAAACACGACCAAAGAAGTGCAGTAAAAATTTATTTTATTCAAACAATTTCCACGCAACAATTAAATATTTGAATAATCGAATGAATTCGAACGATTTCCAAAGTTTATTCAGATTCCAGTAGGATACCATAAACCTTCCCATCGCACGTCAATTTTACTAGGAAGAAGTGTTCCCAGCTCTTTTCCCAAGCTTTTATCAGCTTCGTATGTTTTCACTTCGTCCTTTGGATTTGCGGGCCGCAAATTGCGGCTTCAACGGTGAGCACATATCGTGTGCCAGCTACAACTGCTTCAACTTGACTCTTGCCGCTCATATGCGTTTCACAACCGAATCGAAGTCTTCGTATTTTTTTGCTCGATTACGTGAATGTTTCCGTGACCTTTGGGTGCAATTCCGTGATGGCTTTCTCGCTAGGTGGACTGAAAGCCGCCAAATCCGGATGTCTCAGTAATTGTTTCGGCTGGTAATAAATCAATCAGTTCACACTCAAGTTCAAATTTAATAAAAGCTTCCCATGGTTTCTCCCACAGTGACACCGTACAGTACCGTACAGTTAAGAATTTGTGTGCTGTTATCCTTGATTCCGACGAATATTCAATACAAAGTACCAGCAACGACCTGTGACGTGGCTCTATAAAATTCAGCGAGTTCGAATTATACGCGCCACATACTTCCACGCTTGAAAATAAGTGCACGGATCCATTCATGCGGTTATCAAAATTAGTCTCACTGTGCACAGCTGAATCATCAAATTGCGTTAAAAAAAGCAAATTATCGAATAAAACTAATATTTGAATTCATTTTAACGCCATGACAAAGTATTGCTACTAAAAAAAAACAACTTACTTCTTGTTACATATTCAACGCTTTCACTCGTTTCGGTAAACGAATCATTGATCGTGTCACACAATCTAAAAGTGTTTATAACGCAACACCTATTTCAGAGATAATTTTTTTGTGTTAATTAATTGGAATTTTTTCACTTTCTAGTAGATTCTAATGCATGTAAAGCAACAAAATTTAAATCGTTTAGTATATAAAATTTATATAAACATTGATAATAAGCTTGACAATAACAATGAACGTTAGATTTCAAATAAAAGTGCCCCGACGCAGACAGTTTACAAAAAAAAACATTAAAAGTGACTACAGTAGACCCTCAGAAATTAGAAGAGGCATTTTCAAAGCATTGCGGCTTCTGAAATTAGAAGATTATCTTCTAATTTCCGAGTCCAATTTCCTATATGAGATTTATTTATTCACAGCATTGTAGCTGTTGAGTAGTTTATTACACAAACGAAATATTTGGCATGAAACCAAGTATGATTTGCAATTTTTTGATGCTCTTGCAAAAAGTGCGTGCATGCACTGGTCAAATGTTTGGAGGTTCGACCCAATAAAAAAATTTGATTTCAATAAAGATGTCATCGAATAATAAAAAATTCAAGATGACAACATTTTGAATTGAACAAAAAGTACAAGCACTGCAAATTCTCCACCAACTTGATGCTGGTGTTCGGGCAAATCGCTTGGTTTTGGATTATGGTGTTTCAGATTCAGCCATTAGTTACATTAAATCGAACGAATATGAAAATATGTCTGCAGTGTCATTGTCAAGCAAAAGAAGAAAAAACAGTCTCAAGCGAATCAATAACACTGTTTATTCATCCATTCTGTGCAAAAAAGACTTTGATGGCGCAGATTTACAATGCAAACGAAAGCGGATTGTTTTATCGATGGTCAACAATTCCTTGAATTTTTCTAAGGGAATATCACGTTTAGATTATTTCAAATATTCAAAAAAAAAAATCCGATATATCTCTAAGAATCTTTCATATGAAATATGGTGAATATTTGTGAATAAGGCAAAATAAGGTGGATATTTGTGAATATGAATGACATTTAAGCCGAGACAACGTCCACCATCTTGGACAATTCAAGAATCTAAAATATCTCCAAAAAATCCACACAAATCTTGATTATTTATTCGAAATATTCGAAAATATGTCATGTTTATTTAAAATATCTCAAATATCTAAACATATCGCCACTATTCTGAAGCGTGATATTCCTCCAGGAATTTTTTTGAATTTTTTTTGAAGAATAGTTTTTATTCAGACGAAGCAAATGTTTGAATATTGTTTCTAACTGGTTTGAAAGTGATATTTTTTATCAACAAATGAAGTTTTTATATTCGAAAAGTGCGTTTCATGCGATATATGGGAAAATGTTATAAGAAAAATTTTACCTCTAAAATTAGAAGGTTTCAGAAATTAGAAGTACCTAATTTACAGACACCTTCTAATTTCTGAGGGTTCACTGTATTTGCAAATTAGTAAACTGAATGTGACAAAACGTGCGCGCAACAAACTGATTACGAATCTGTTTGAATGTAATCGAAACAAATGTCATAGACATTAACCAGCTGATAATAATGAACGTTATCAATGAAAATACAACTGTTGTGTAACCGAATTATCACAGTTGCCAATGTATAAATAGAGTAAATTGTGAGAAATCGTGTTCAAGGATTTCGTTTTTTTCATTTCTAACATTTCATTCAAAGTAGTAGGCACAATGTGGGGTGCAATACGAACGATAATGACTGATGCACAACGTCGTCCAACAGTTTTAATTACAAATCCGAAAACACCAGCCGCCGGCATTCAATTACTACGTGAAAAGTAAGCAACTCAATAGTTAAGCACTTCAAATAGTTTCTTGGGTTTTTCCTGAATCAAAAAACGATTGAAAAAATTAATTCAATACTTATCACAAAGAAACGTCGAAATAAATAATTAACTAAACATGAATAAATGTCGACTAATCAATTAAATACAATTGTAGATGTGATGTGATCATTTGTGAAGGTCAACCGAATTCAACGCGGGAAGAAATTTTGAGCAAATCGGCGGGTGTCGATGGGATTTTGTGGACACATTATCATCATCTGAATGCTGAGGCATTAGATCGTGCTGGACCGCAATTGAAGGCGATCTCAGTGTCTTCGGCTGGATTGGATCACGTTGATATAAATGAAGTTAAAAAGCGCAATATTCCACTCGGCTATTTACCACACATATCAAATGATGCCGTTGCTGATTTCACGGTTGCATTGACAATTTCCGCAGCTCGTCGATTCCATGAAGCCTTTTTGAAAATTATCAACAATCAATGGGACCGGTACAATCCACAATGGATGCTCGGTTCGTATTCCAGTGTTTTTAACTAATAAATTTATATAATTTGAATTGACATTGTATATGGATAAAAATGTGCAAATGATTCGAACAAAAAAAGGACAAGATCTTAAAGGATCAACGGTCGGAATCGTTGGGTTGGGTGGCATCGGTCAAAAAATCGCCAAACGACTCAAAGCCTTCGAAATTGGTTCCATTCTGTACACTGGTCATCGTGAGAAGGAAGAAGGTATCGAAATATTACTCTGAATTTATTAATAAAACATTCTTAAGAAACTAAGACTAATCGATTTTCCCCACATGTTCCATATATTCCTAAAAGGTAAACAACTTGGTGCAACATTTGTCTCGTTCGATGATCTACTAACTCGATCGGATTTTGTAATTGTTGTATGCCCCTTGAACAATGAAACTCGCAATCTATTCAATAAGGCGGCGTTTGCCAAAATGAAATCAACTTCGGTGTTTATCAATGTGTCGCGTGGAGGTTGGATATATAACACATTTCCCCTCTGATTCACCAATTATTTTGATAAATTTGAATTTTTCACTTTTTTGCTCAATTTTTCCCTGAATCAGGCGTCGTTGTTCAAGATGATTTGGTTGAAGCACTGAAGAATGGTACCATTTTTTCGGCCGGTCTCGATGTCATGACCCCAGAACCACTTCCACCAGATCATATTCTTACGAAACTTCCAAACTGCGGTGAGCAACAATCATATTATTCCACAGATAGAATTCTTTTCTTTTTGAAGCCTTTGATTTATTTCTTGCGTTTTGTTTTTGCATCGTGTGGATAGTATTGATTCCACATTTAGCATCGGCAACCAAAAAGACCAGAGACGAAATGGCCATATTAGCTGCTCAAAATATTCTGAATGGCATCGAAGGAAAACCACTCATTTATTCCGCTTATTGATTCAATTGGAATTTTCTCTTTTCGATGGTGCGTACATTTTCAGCAGTAGGCCTTGCATCACATCCAACCGAGATCGATGTATCCCTTATAAAATAAATCTGCCAACTCCGTCTTGCTGAAAATAAGTATAGTATTTTATCAAAAAATTAGTAGTGTGTTCGAAAAATCAGTACGAAAATCCAGTATGTTCCAAAACACGTTTAATTACAGTAAAATATCACAAAAATTATTAATGTATGTGTTTACAGTGAGAATGACTCTTAAAACGGATAAATTAGACTATTCAGAATCGTAGAAATCAACTGACATTACACCTGGACTTGATTGTTTCGTTTTGAAATCATATTTTTCTTGGGCAGAGATTTTCTTCAGAATACTTTGAGGAGTTTTAGGAAACCGTGGAATTCGGTACATGTGAATTCCATATTGTATTGAACAGTTAAAATTGACCTCAATGTGGTTATTATAGTTATTTGAAGAGATGAACTTTCGTTTTTCCAAATTTTTTCACTGTGGCAAATATTCACTCTGCCGGAGTTGAAGTACGAGGGAAACAAAAAACGAATTCAATTATTAAGGAAAAATTTGCAAACGGTACGTTTTTTTTTTCTAAATGATTGAAAATCTCTACCGATCGTGCTTCTGATGGAACTTTGTTTGTGTTGCATTCAGTAATTTTATTTGCGGTACAATATTGTTTCACGCACCCAAACTGTTGATATCTCATAGACGATTGCGTCTCAAAATCAATCCGAAGTTTTGTCTTCCATATCGCTTTGTTACAATGGGACCATACAGCCAATGTAAATACATTGATGACAGCGTATGAACTTTCTTCTAGAACTTTACGTATAAAGCATGACAATAAAGCGTGGCGCCACTATCTTTCCCAAATATATCATTGGGGTCAATGGAATACATAAGAGTTCAAAAGCGCAGCGATAGATGGCGCCTCTATTAATCCTATATGCAACTTACTTACTGAATATGGACCATTTGCTTTGTTAATTACTGTTGGCTGTGCAACTTGCGTTAATAGCATTGATACATGTTACATGTAGCAGTCACCAGTCACACGAAATCAAATTTCTTTCGATTTAATTGTTTAATTTATGATTTTGTTTGGATAAATTCTTGAGATTTTACAATCAAAGCAAAAATGATAGCATTAGTAGGTATTGAAATAAGTATTGTGCACATTTTGGAGCGTTCGAATATGCATTGAACGCCCCAAACATAGGACTTTAAAAATGTTAAATTAAAATCAAAATTTCATGAAAAATCACCAAATTTTCGATAAGTCCTGCATTTCTGAGCAAAGTCCGAACAAGTTTCAGAAATCAGAACAAATTCAGTATGAGTGTCCAAAATTCAGTATATTTCAGTAAAGAACAAAAAAAATGGGTTGAAATCAGTATGATACTGAAAAAGTCAGTACAGTTGGCAGCTTTCTTATATTGATGCTCCAAATATTTTTAATGTATTCAAATGATGATGATAATACTGAATGATACCTTCAAAATGTCTTATAGCCCACTGTTGCAACAAGCATTCAGTCCAAATGAATCATTTTATTTTAATGACAGGATTCTACGAAAACATGGCAATGAACGTTAAACGATCATATCAATATTGAATGAATGGACTCTTTAAAAGCAATCGATTGGTGTTTACGTTTTACATATGAAATCAAGTGTGAACAAAATGATGCAAGATCTCAGGCAAAACTTTTTAGATCAATTTTTAAACATACTCATGAAAATAAAACACGGCCAGACACGAGTGCAGTAAAAATGTTTTTTTTTATTCAAGTAAATTTTATTCAATTCTCAAATATTCGAATGTTTCGATTTTAATTCACACGATCTTCAAAGTTTATTCGTATTTCATAGTCCTTTTCTTGGCACTTCAATTTTACTAGGAAAAAGTTTTCCCAGGTCTTTTCCCAAATATCAGCTTCGCATGTTTTCACTTCGCCCTTTAGATTTGTGGCTTCAACGGTGAGCACATATCGTGTGCCAGCTACAACTTGACTCTTGCCGCTCAAGATGCGTTTTGCAATCAAATCGAAGTCATCGTGTTTTTTGCCCAATTGTTTGAATGATTCTGTGACGTTTGGATGTAAATCCGCAAGGGCTTTCTCGCTAAGTGGACTGAAACCGCCAAAGCCACCAAATCCAGATGGTGGCAATGGCAATGGTTCGGTGGTTGCTGGAATGCCTGCTACACACAAACCGCACAACAGCGATAAACACAGAACGAAATTCAACACAGTCATTTTGCTTGATCGGAAACGAACTGACTCAAACAAGCAACGTTCTGGGCCTTTTAAACGCAGACAACTAACACTAGTAGTGTGATAGTGTTGGTTGATAAAAATAATAGCAACGGCAACGACAACGAAAACAAAAAAAAACAACAATACCAACGGATCAACAAAGTCGCTTGGCTTCCATTTGTCCGTTAGTGTGTGTGTATGTGATAAAAAAAATTTGGCTTTGGGCAGAATTTTCGTTGATAGCCTAATGTTGATACAAAATTGAATATAAACATAACATAAATGGAAGTTCAAATATGCAGTTATCAGTGACGATTTTTTTCTAATTCCACATTTCGATATGCCAAATTGAGAGTCAGCATTCGATCGATGCAATTTTATCATGTATTAATGACCAAATGATTTTGGTCTTTTTTGTGGATTAATAACTAATACGAAGTTCATGAACGATGATATCACGGTCATTAAATTATTTTATAGCAACCGAATTTCATTTTGTCGACTTTACTCTTTGTTTTGATAATAAAATGACCGGTTTTTTGCAATAGAACAACTTAATACTACTTAGTGCTTAGTACAAACTTGATAAAAAGAAGCATTTAGCAGCTGAAATGCTTTATGTCACCATGTAATTTTATTATTTTTTAAAGTTGAAGCCGAAAAAACCAAGAGAAAAATTGAAAAATAAAAATATGGACATAAGAATGACAGCCTACCATTGGCAGAAGACCATAAAAACGAGACTAACATGCATTGTGAATGTGCACTCCAATTATGAAAATCAGGAGGTTTGTTTACATCATAGCAGATTGGCACTGTGCCAATGGCACAAATGAAAGTGAACAAACAATATCAGAGTTATTGTTGTTGTGAAAAATTGAGTCATTAAGAAATATTGATGTTGATTCTAGACTTCTTTCATTCGTTCAAATTTGCATTGCAACGAAAAGTATCAGAAGAGTTTACATAACCGTTTTGTCTACGGCCAATGGTCAAAGTTTTTATCAATTCATACCATTTAAAAGTGGGCGACTATATTTGGTGATGGTCGATTTATCTCATTTCACATTTCCTTAGTTTGGACGACGGCATGAATGATAATGTGTGCCAAAATTCACTTCGTCAATACGATAAGTGTTTTTTGCATGAGAAACCAAAACAAACAACAGTTCATAGAAAGTGGCCGACGAGCACATCTAGGTTATGGAGTGAAAAAAAAAACGATTTTGTTTACAAAACGCTTCCTCTCTCATATATACGTTGATAGAAGAATATTTCATCAACTGATGCTTTTTACTTATAAGAAAGTACTAAAACACTAAGTGTTGAATCATTGGTAAGAGAATTGGATGTGTCGAAATTTATCTGTTCTTTATTTATTTATTGGTATCTATTGGTATCAAGTAGCCAGTGGCTACTAGCTACATTACTGAAAGAAAAGATTTTAAAAGAGACCGGTTTGAATATCAAATTAATGAGTCAAGTCAACAATACGAAATTCGGGTGTTACAAAATAATTTAATGACCATGATATCATCGTTCATTGTCATAGCCATATCAATTTGGATTCACAAAGAGGGAACCAAATCAAAGTCCATTGGGAAAGATACAAAGTAGTTGTGGAAGAATTTCTCTCTCATTCTCCCTCTTTCTCTTCCTCCCTCTCTACTTTCATCTTTTTGTGTCTAATCCCATGCAATGTCATTACACATAAATACCAAATAGAACTGAATCGATTTAATGTTGACCTTTACACAATTTGGCGTATCGAAATGTGGAATTAAAAGAAACGTAAATGATAATTGCTTCCAATGTTTATATTCAATTTCGTATCAACATTGGGCTATCAACGAAAATGCTGCAAAAAGCCAAATATTCTTCATCACACACTAACGGACAAATGGAAGCCAAGCGACTTTGTTGATCCGTTGTTATCAACCATCAAATTATCAGTGAATTGCATTCCTTTAAAAGGTCCAGAATGTTGTCTGCTTGAGTCAGTTCGTTTCAGATCAAGCAAAATGACTGTGTTGAATTTCGTTGTGTGTTTCGCACTGTTGTACGGTTTGTGTGTAGCAGGCATTCCAGGTGCACCGAGACCAATTACCGACGAAACTAAGTTAACGGAACTTCGAAACAGTGTTACAACGCACATGAGCAAATTGAGTGGCCAGCAAAATGGTGCACAACTTGAATTCATTAAAATTCATACAGCAACGTCGCAAACAGTTGCTGGTTCTTTGTACAAAATAATTGCCGAAATCAACGAAAACAACCAAATTGTCAACTGTACGGTGTCATTGTGGGAGAAACCATGGGAAAATTTTGTTAAACTCGATGTTGAATGTGGTGAAGAGCCGAAGCGCACATATGGATGGAGATCTGACCAAGCCGAAACAACCACCGAACAGTTACCATTACGCGTCTTTGGTGGTTTCAGTCCACTTAGCGAAGAAGCCCTTGCGGATTTACATCCAAAAGTCACAGAATCATTCACACAATTGGGCAAAAAACACGATGACTTCGATTTGATTGTGAAACGCATCTTGAGCGGCAAGAGTCAAGTTGTAGCTGGCACACGATATGTGCTCACCGTTGAAGCTACAAATCCAAAGGACGAAGTGAAAACTTGCGAAGCTGATATTTGGGAAAAGACCTGGGAAAACTTCTTCCGAGTTCAATTGAAGTGCCAAGAGAAGGACTATGAAATTCATCTCTAAAATACGAATAAACTTTGGAAATTGTGTGAATTCAATCGATTTTTCAAATATTTTTGAGAATTGAATGGAAATTACTTCAATAAAAAAAAATTTTTGTTGCACTTTATTTGTCGGGTTGTCTTTTCTTTGTTCTCATTTTCAAGAGGAATATGGCTTAAAAATTGATTTAACAGAAGTGATTGGCACTGAAAGTGCAAACAAAATTATCACTTGAATTGATCTGTATACGCCAGTCGATTGCTTTTAAAGTGTCGATTCAAAGCTGTAAGAACTGTCAGAGTTCTCGAATGATTCGCGACAAGAGTGCACTCAAAATGCAACCACTGTTGATTCGTAGTGACGAGAAAACATACATAGGAAGCTTACAAACGAATGGAAATATCAATTTATGCGTTGCGGCAGTCAAGTAAAGTTCCAAATAAAAATAAATAAAACTTTGACGTATTTCACAAATTGAAAGATCTTTTAATGGTTTTTTGCTTTTATTTAACTCCATATACAATAATACCTTTTCATGTATATGTATTCATTACAGTTTATTCAAAAATATTTCGATTGGGAATGTTTCGTCCCCGACATGAATAGTGAACAATAGTTCCATTTCGATGGCGAACAAATGCGCACTGATTCGTGAATTTCTTTGAACAAACTGGGCATACGCTGAATTCCGATACTAAAACACTTCTCGCTTCCACATGCATGCGTTGTTCTTGCAATTGTATATTAGAAGCGTATAGCAATCCCTTCAATAATTGATGATTGCGTTTGCGTTCAAGTGAATGTTGCAAAGCTGTTTCCAAAAATGTTCTTAAACGAACGATTGAAATGTCATTTGCAAGAATTTGAAGGATGGGAACCGGATTCAACTTGGCAGCATGATGATCAAGTAGCTCCAGTACAGCTTCCACATTAGGCTGTAAACAATTTGGATGCAATTCAACTCCCGTGTATGGTGGCATTGTGGGTGGTTTCAGAAGAATTTCAATTAACTGAATGAAAATATTTTTTGCAGCATCTGAATCCGACGCATTATTATAAACGTCCTCACAATAGGCATTTGCTTTCGGAATATCATAAAGTATTTGGATATAAATCACAAGGACTTTTTCATGACGTTTCAACTTTCCGAGAATGATTGCTCGCTCCTCGAATAAATCGTTTTCTGGAAACATTTTGAGTACGGTTTCGGCATGCAGATAATCATAGTTGTTGAGGAAATTAACCATCTTATCACGTATATTTTGACTGGCGAATTCCTTTTGCCTATCAACGAAAAGTTTTTTTTAATTTTCACACTCACAAAAAAAAAAAACGTGCACATGTCGTTGTAAACCCTAATACTTACTTTTTATCACCACCGTTGGGACTAGTTTCTATGTTAACATAAGCTTCGCGATACTGTTCAATTAAAATATTATGGAATAGGGCTTTTTGTTCATTCCACACAAAAATGATATGTTCCAAATAGGGTGTTACAAGGCTTTTATGGTTTTTCAACAAATAATTGAGCACTTCTGCGCGATGTAAATTTTCAATTTCGGGTATATCGTCAGTAAAAATTCGAAGGCCATCTTCTGGACTTTTTTCTATAACATAGCCAGCAAATTCGAATATCAAACGTCTGTGTTCATTGCCTAAATGTTGAAGGTATTGAATGGTGCGTTCGTGTCCAAATAGACTTGAATTTGGAATTTCAGCTTGAGATTGGAGCAGCTGTAATGCTTTCTTATGATGACCCTTTGTTTGATATAAGACAATAAGATCTCCAAATTTTTCAAAATTTAGCAAAGTCTTCTCGGCCTCATCCAAGTACAAATGATTCATACGTATTAGTGGCGCTACCAACGAGTCATTCGTCTTAATAATCCAAAATTCGGGTTAAATTAGAATTAAATTTGAAAATATCAAAGTTTCACGAAATAACAGAAAACTACAAACCTTTAGGTAACATTTCAATAATGTGGTATCGATAATGGACAGAAGATAGTTTAAATTTTTACTGTGGCTCTTTTGTTTTGCATTCTCCATTTGACGCATAATATTGAAATGAATCTCAGTTAAATAGTCAATCAATGCGAGCAAAGCCATTTCAAGGTCTTTACCATTTAAAACTGGTAGATTCGATTTTGCTAATGCAAACTGACTTAGTTTCGTTGCAGCCGAGTCTTTGGGAAATAGATTGGGAAAAAGCCTAATGACATCGCATGGATCAGTTTCCAATTTTATAAATTCTCTCATCGATTCTTTGAAGTATTTATTTACGAATAAATCAATTGCATATAGAGTTTGTATACGGTTTTTTTCAATCATTTTTCCTTCCAAGTCCGATATTTCCTGTAAAAAAAGGGTCCGTAGCCTATGAATAACTAAAACAATTTACTTTCATTAGACTTTACACACCATTAACTGTAGAGCCAACTGGAACTTATTTTGTTGCAATAGACTTTGGCATTGCTTTTGAATGTCTACTTCTTGAATGCAGTAGAGTTGAGTCATAGAAGCTGCAAATATACAACCCTTTTCGGATCTTACTAAATGCCTCGCTTTTTGAATTTCTGGTAAAGTCTGGATGAAGGTGTCTTTCATGGAACCCGATGCATCAAGAACACGCACCTCTACACCATTGGGGAGCAAACCGATCGCATAGGGTTCGTCCCATACTGGAAACAGATTGTTTTTTTACAACTATGGTTAATCACATCAATCAATCAGTAATTTCAATGGAACTATTTTACCAAGTTGACTAATGGGATGGGACCAAGCAAAGGATTTAAATGATTTATTTGTTTGGTCTTGGGGCAATGTTGCTTGTTCTTTTGATATTTTTCCACTGGTTGCACATGTTTCTGGCAAAACCGAACTTTTCGGATCTACAGCAATAAGAAACTCATCTTTAACAACAGCAAAAAGTTCGTTAATGACTGTAATACATGGGTCAATTGTTTTTGATGAGCTTGTTGGAAAGAGTTCAGTTTTCCGTGGCCTTTCCGATGAAATCTAAAAAGAGGGTTCATCCATTACTCAGTTCGACTAATTTTTCAACGGTAAATTAAAAAAAAAATCAGAAAAATCTTTACGTCGTATACAATATAATCAGTTTTAAATCCGATGCAAATTGCGTTTTCGAGCCATACGACGGCCTTAGGCGAATCATCTAGTTGAATTGGTTCACGATATTGTAACAACTTATCGTGTTTCCAATACCAAAATTGTAACTGACGTTTGATAACCACACAAAGACGAACAACCAATGCTGTTTCACCAGTCAGTGCGGTTGTTCGATTAACATTTAATGCGAATAGCGTTGCACCTAAAGGGTCAAATAATGTAGAATAAATTTCTCGAAATTTCACTTCAAATGCGAGCAATCGGAATGACCTTTTGTTTTACTATTGGAATGTACAACTAATAATGTGTGATGGGCAATGTCATGAATTGAGACCAGTCCATCGGTCAAACTGAATAATAACTTATATTCGGGCATGACATCAATCTGAGTGATCGGTTTCTTGCTGAAATTCTTGTCATGTTTCAAAAGCCGAAGATCCATTTTAATTTCTGTTGCATTTTGTTCCACAGCATACATCAGTAAATGGCCTTGACGCGTACCCAATAGCACAATATTATCTGGAAATTTTGTAAAATGTTAACCATACTACATTATTATGGCCTATATTGAGCGTTTTTTTTTTCTTCAAAATTTCAACGCATACCATAGCAAGCCAATGACTCGATTTGAGCTGGAATGGAGACAGGTGGACACACTGTATATGCTTCGTGGGTGATTTTCTCTTCAGAAGTCATTCTTACAAATTAGGTTGTTATTTGTTTCACTTTTCTTGCTCAAATAAATTTCACAACTGTTAAACGAAATATTCAGTGGAATGGACTGTACCATTCCACATTGCTATATCGCTCTCAGTATCTCGCAAGATTACGGAAACGACGCAGGGGATGCATGATAAAATTCTGTGCATGTTTGATTGAGTCATGCAGCATCAATAGTCATTACACACTCAGTCCATGTAACAACGTGCACCGCTCAAACTTATGTCCTGCATCGGCTGCGTCATTCCAGCTATCTTACGAGAGATACTGAGAGCGATATAGCAATGGAATGTTATGGTCGTGAGTTTTGAGCATCATTGATGCCTTGAAAGTAGCGACACCTAACAGCGGTTTTTTCATAGCAGTCAATCAAATATCGCGAGTCAAAATTTCAGTATTCCACGTTGTTTAAATGTCAAAACAAGAACCGCTGTAAGAGAGCGATACGAATTTACATTGTTATTATTCTTAATAGATAAACATTGACATTCAAGGAGCACGGTTATGGTCGCAAAAGCCCGTTCACACTTCAAACAAATGAGATTTCAACCACCAGCTTTAACTCAATGAATGTTTGTGTGTGTTTTGACTGGGATTTTATTTTGATCAACATTTCAAAAATCCGTTGAAAATGTTAAGAAAAACATTTTGAAGGAACTATATTGATAGACTTAATTCCGAAGGAAAAGTAAATCCAGAAATACTGAACTGTAGGCTTAATTCATCAACGCAGAGTTGCTATTTTTAATTTTTATTATGAATACACAACCTATCAACTGATTACGACTGATGAACGCTGAGTAATCATGGAACTCGAATAACCAATCCGATGACATTTATTCCACTCAGAAACATGACAAGAGGTAAAAATTGGTTGATAGCCAATAATATAGAAATAATCTTAAATCGCTGTACCTATTTAGATCTACCGAACGTCATCTCAGTACTCTTTTTAAATCAATCTTTAAACCACAATAATTCTGAAAATGTTCAATTTTTCAACGATTTCCAATCTTATTTTTAAAACAGCGAAACACCACATTTTTCTGGTTAAAACTAAACGAATGGAAACAATTTTAATAGGAGACACCGTATCAAGCGCGCTGCAATCAAAATGAAATACATTCTTCTGAATAATAATGTGAACTCTAGCTTTTTTCTGAAGTGGATCGAAGTTTTATGCACGTATTTGATTTGGTTTAATCGCTTATGCCTTTGATATCATACAATTTCTTTAAATGCATCTATTGAATCGGTTGAGAATATCGAAACACTTCAACAGAACGCTGTGAAGGAATATAAGAATCTCATTGAGATATAACATGCACTGCAAAGCATTGTATGCACACGAGTAGATGCATCCAATGCCAATCAACAGGTGGCAGCTCTTCAAAAAGTGCAACCTGAAAGATAATTTGAAATCAAACGAAATTTTTCGTAGCAAAAAATTTATTCAAAAAATCCTTTCGTCATAGACTTAGACATGAAATATTTTTCAATAAAATGTTTGTATTTATAACAGCATTGGATGTTTATAAATAGTTAAAAGGCTGGAGAGATCATGGCTTTCCCCTCAAGTACATTGAGAATATTTTGAGCACCAATGCAAGACATATCATTTTCGGTTCGTAAAGTGGCCGTTCCCAAATGCGGCACTAGCACTGTAACCACAAATAATCCAAATATTATCATTTTTATTTCCGTTCCAAGAACAATATTAACGTTAAAAATCAAACAGCAATTTCAGAAAGCAATTTATTGTTTGAAATATGAAATCAAAAGAAAAAATGTCAAAAGAATTCTATCTGTGCAATAATGATTTATGCTTACCGCAGTTTGGAAGTTTCGTAAGAATATGATCCGGTGGAAGTGGTTCTGGGGTCATGACATCGAGGCCAGCCGAAAAAATGGTACCATTCTTCAGTGCTTCAACCAAATCATCTTGAACAACGACGCCTGGTTCAGGGAAAATTGAGCAAAAAAGTGAAAAATTCAAATTTATCAAAACGATTGGTGAATCAGAGGAGAAATGTGTGATATATTCAACCTCCACGTGACACATTGATAAACACCGAAGTTGATTTCATTTTGGCAAAGGCCGTCTTATCGAATAGGTTGCGAGTTTCATTGGTCAACGGGCACACAACAAATACAAAATCCGATCGAGTTAGTAGATCATCAAACGAGACAAATGTCGCACCAAGTTGTTTACCTTCAGGAATATATGGAACATGTGCGGAAATTCGATTAGTCTTAGTTTCTTAAGAATGTTTTATTAATAAATTCAGAGTAATATTTCGAAAGGTTGATGGTATTTTACCTTCTTCCTTCTCACGATGACCAGTGTACAGAATGGAACCAATTTTAAAGCCTTGAAGACGTTTGGCAATTTCTTGACCGACATTACCCAAACCAACAATTCCGACTGTGGATCCTTTGATATCTTGACCTGTTTAATTGAAATGAATTCAAATGATGATTTTGGCTCCAATGATTTACTGAGTAAAACATGTGTGTCACACACTTTAATTCAGCACTAACCAAGCATCCATTGCGGATCAAATCCATCCCATTGATCGTTGACGATTTTCAAGTAGCCTTCGTGGAATCGCCGGGCAGCCGAAACCAACAAACCAATAGCCAAATCAGCAACGGCATCGCTCAATATATTTGGTGTATGACCCAGTGGAATGCCTCGTTTTTTGAATTCGGCCACATCAACGTAATCGATGCCTGTTCCAGATTAAAAGGATAAGAATAAAAATTGTTTAGTTCCTAGTACTTTGTGATGCTATTGCAAATGTTCGATTACCAGACGATTTCGTGGAAACTGCCTTCAGTTGAGGTCCAGCACGATCTAATACCTCAGCATTCAACGGATCATAACATGACCATAAAATTGCATCGACACCTTCCGATTTGCTCAAAATTTCCTCACGCGTTGGCTTTGGATTTCCTTCGCCGATAATCACATCACATCTATCATTGGATTGATATTGAATGAGTGTTTTAATATTAGAATGAAAACTCTAGTGACATCTAAATCAGAACATAGGTAAAAGTCAACGATTTAAGGACTTTTTCAAAAGATGTGGTTCACGTATTCACGCCTTTCTCACGTTTTTTTTATAATTTCCCGTCTGAAAGACGTACATCTTCTGTGCAATGGTATACAGAATACGCGAGTATGGCGTGAGGGAAATTTCAGCTATACCATTTATCACTGCACGGAAGACGTACGTCTTTCGTGTGGTAATTATATAGAAGACGTGAAAAAGGCGTGAATACGTGAACCACGTCTTTTAAAAGACGTAACGTTCGCACTTGGGTGAAAAAAGCAACTCAAGACAAATTCATCGATAAAATCACTTACTTTTCACGCAACAATTGAATTCCAGCTGGCGGTGTTCTGTGATTCAAATAGAAAATGATAAACTTAATAACGATTTAAATGGAAATTGATTTTGATTTTCGTAGTAAATTATAAAGATGAAATAATCATCAGAATAACCCACCTGGGATTGGTGACTAAAACTTTTGGACGAAGTTGTGTATCGGTCATTGTTGTGCGTGCTGAGCAAGGAATCTAAGTTGAATGAAAATAGAAACACATTAAATCGTCACTAATTGCCTGTGTCGTTGCTTATCACACAATAATATTGCTTATTATCGTTTGTTTGTTTTTGCGTTTACACAAAACGAAAAAACCTAAAATGTAAATAAACCGGCAAATAATTGACATTTCCAATAATTTGATGTTAGGTTTTTATGTAGTGCACAACAATTGACGACAATTTATCTTCAAATTACAGGTGATTTGTTTGTTTCTTCGATTCAACCAATATTGGTTGTAATGGTAAAAACCAACTTTCTGTTCGCTTGCCAATCGCAATATTCAAACTAATGAAATAAAAAATTGGAAGCGGTGTTATTTATTTTCCGGAAGATTTGACCTTGAGTTGTACCGTTGGTTGTGTCAAAATCAGCTGATCGTCTTGTTTTCCATTACTTTTCTAATGCTCTACAATAACACACACCACATAACCACAATACGAAAAAAAACTAGTTGATTCGCCATGGTATTGTGGCTCATTTCATTTTCAGCTTTTTACTATGATACTTACATTTAATGTTGCTATTTTGTTGACGTTCACAGCAAACATACACGTTTTTTTCAAAAACCGATGCACGCTTATCATTTTGCGGCAAATGACACTATTGACACACTGACTCCATGTGTGTATGTGTGTTGATTCAAGTGATAGAACATTTTCATCACTACGAGAATCTCATGAAAAATGCTCGATTCCAACGATAGATGCCTCTGAGCATGGTCAAGCAACAATTTCAAATAAAACCAATCCGGCTTAAATGATAATGTGAGCAAAAATTCACTTCGTTAGTACGATAAGCTTTTTTCGCATGAAAAACCAAAACCATGCCGAGAACATGACGTATTTGAAACGTCTAACTCCATCTACGGATTTTTCCAGTAGTTGTGAATCGAGTAG